CAGGCAGAATGCAGGATCCATACTGTCAAAAACGGTCTTGAGAAATGACATTACATTTGGGCTGGATGGTTGTACTACTCTACGGAACTAAAGGACCTGGTTGATCCTCCTCCAGGTACGGGCTCCCTATAATTCTGGATCCTCCTTGTGTCCCCCGCCTCGAGTGCCAGAACCCCCTCCCAGATGGTTCCACTCAGTTTGCCTGGGACCCAGAAATTCTATTGCTGGCATACCGTGCGGTAGGTTTCTCTCGAGTTCTGTCTCCTAAATTGCCCCGAGCCCTCAATCCTGTGTTGCTATTCCTATTCTACTGGCCCTATGTGGCCTTGGCTATCTTTTCTTTTTGCATCTCTCCCTTCTCTCTCTCTTCCCTGTCTTGTTTCTTTGTCCCTGCCTTCTTGCATACAAGTACTGAGTTTTCTGCAAATGCACTTTGTGCTATATAATGTCACTATTGTTTGAGTTTGAAGCATGGAGCATATCTGATATTCGCCTTGAGATTGGCTGGCCTCGTGTAGAGATGTAGCTCCTGCGTGGTGGTTGGATCTCTTGGCGATAAGTTTTGCGCGGTTTCTTGCGGTCCTGACAGTGGGCGGGGGGGTATGTGGCATGGTATCTGTATTCTACATAGGTTTGATTTAGATCTGTATTACATCATTGTACGCAAGCTCTGTTGTGTACTTCCTTAAAGCTCTGTGTGCTTCCTTAAAGACTGAGACAGAGAAAAGGTATCATTTTGTCTTTACTATTGCTTTACCCTTTGTCTATTAACAGATTTAAAAAAAAAAAAAAAAAAAAAAAAAAAAAAAAAAAAAGTTAAGAGGAAAGGTTTTCCCCAATTAAACCATTTGTGAAAGTCTCACTCAGCCTTCACTCTGCAGTTGGTACTGCAGATGCCACTCAGTAGGTGTTTAATCAAATGTATTGTATCTGAACACTCCATTATTATAGTGTCCTTTTATCATGCAGCGGTAAATGACAGATGCTCAGTTCTGACATTCCCAGTAGGATCAGTTCTCCTCTGAATTCCTTTTTATGAAGCGGTGTAGATCGCTTCTCTTAATGACGAGAGAAGCTATCTACAAAACGCTTTGAACACTAAAAAACAGCTGCTGTTTCCGTAATCTCGTGAGATTACAGTGAGAGGTCAAACAGTTTACTAAGCAGCGGTAAATTACCATTGCTTCCTTAGATTCTGGAGTATCTGGAGGGAGAACACAGATTGCCAGTGAAGCGCTGACATCACTCCTTCATACACTGGCAGTTTGTGTGCTGAGATGATCAGCAGAGAACATGTTCTCCGCTGATCAGGTTTCCTAAACGATCTGAGATCAGCAACGATCCTCAGGATCACCACTGATCTCAGTTTCATAAAAGGACACATTCCAATATTGTTTTAAAGTTTGTGCATGTGTCAGCATACAGCAAAAAAGGTGAAGTTATCTGATACATCACAAACTGCAGGTGGAAAAGGGGTCAACATTCAAAAAAACTCTTCAAAATGCTACCAATTTAAGCACTCTAAACAATACATATAAATATAGGCAAGGTAGGTCCTCCACACCTCTGAATGAGATCATGGGACACAGCCTTCTAGCAAACATCTCAGCCAAGTTTACCTTTTGTAACCTGTTACACACTCATACAGGTTACGCTCAGACCGCTCCCCTGCTTTCACAGCTAGCAGGGTGATCCCCCCCTTGCTAGCTGTCAAATATAAAAAAAAAAAAAAAAAAAAAAAAAAAAAAAAAAAGCTGTGCGGGGCCCTGCCCTCATGGCCACATCACTCATTCACAGTCATCTGTGAATGAGAGACTACAGCAGCTGTCAATTTGTAGTCCCTCAATGAACTACCACAGCACTGAAGTACCGTGGTAGCTCATTCATTCTTCAGGTCAGAATACTACATCCCATACGGCAAGCAGATATTCTGACAGGTCTGCAAGAGACCTGCATAGCATCAGCATTCTACTGATCGCAGGTGCAATGCTTTCCAGGCTCCTGCAGACAAATGCACTTTTTTTGATGCAGGTAAAAAAAATGTGCATTTATTATGGTTTTCTAAAAGGTGAACTTATCCTTATGTAAACATGAGCATCAAGCGCTACCCAGAAAAGCCTCAGTAATAATTTGAAATGGGGATTTCAGATTACTATGAACTATGCAACAAATCTGAAAACAAATCCACAAACTTTTTAAGTGGCCACTGGAGCACTTGGCTATGAAGGTATGCATGCAACTAGAATCAAAGCGTAGGGAAAGGCTTCTTTGTAAATTAATTAAAAATATTTATTGCCATAACCATGGATATGGCTTATTTAAATCCCTAAAATCAATACAAAAGGGTTCGGACTGCACTTCAAAATCAGCTCTCTTCTCTATTAACTGCTATTAAAGTGAAATAGTACGCAAAAACTTGTTCTGCAAAACTCTTCCCAAAAAGGTGTAGCTGACTTTAATATGAGAATTTTTCCAAGGTGGCTCAACAAGTTTGGTATAGGACAATTGCTTTAGCTAGTCTTCAAAAACAGGTTCTGTATAGCTTACAGGTATATGTCAGTTGTCCCACTTCATGATGAAACTGACACCCATCAAGAGATGGCCATTGGAAATTGTGATTGTAAAAATGCAGTGATTGGTGCTGGTAAGCTTGGAAGGTACCAAAACAGAGAAGGCCCATATAATTTTCTGTCACGCTAGAGAGAAGCCATCAAGCGCTCCTCCATCCTCATTTCCTGTACAACTCACATGTGTTCTGCTCAAACGTGTACTCCTACATCAATAATCTGCTGTTAATTATATTGTGTCCTCCTTTTACTGCTGTAGATAACACTGGTGTTGGACATATACCATTTAGCCACTTGCCCCCCTGAGGCTTTACCCCCCTTCATGACCAGGCCATTGTTTGAGTTACGCTGCTGCGTTACTTTAACTGACAATTACGCAGTCATGCAACGCCGCACCCAATATAAATTTACTTTTTATTTCCCCCCACAAATTGAGCTTTTTTGGTGGTATTTGATCGTATGTGCGTTTACTTTTTGCACTATAAGCAAAAAAAAAAAAAAAAAAAAAAGTTAAAAATCAAATTTAAGCCAAAATGTATTTTAGGCCAAAATGTATTCTGCGACATGTCTTTGCTAGGAAAAATCCCAACACCTGTAAATTAATTGGTTTACGTGAAAGTTCTAGCATTCACAAATGGCGGTACAGATGGGATTTTTTTTATTCTACTAGTAATGGCGGTAATCAGTGACTTCGTGGGACTGCGGCGGACAGTCTGGCACTGGGGGGAGCCAACGTTGTGTCACTGACATCTCCAGTGACACCAATACAGTGATCAGTGCTTAAAAAAAAACCAAAACAACCAAACCGCACTGACTGTACTAATGGTACTGGACAGGAAGGGGTTAATGTGAGGGGCAATCAAAGGGTTAACTGCGCTGGGAGTGTTCTACTGGGGGGGGGGGGGGGGGGGGGGGGGTGTTCCTCCCTGTCAGCTCAAGCACACCGATCACGATTGGCTGTACTGTGCACAGCCATCCCAAGCAGTGTGCTCGAGCCGACAGGGACACGGAGATGCTCGGTAATCACTGGCAGGTAATTACCAGCCGTGACCTGGTGATTGACATCCGCGGCTGTAAATAGCAGCGTGGGTAGGGCGCTTGTGCGCACCCCCTACCTGGAAATGCAAAATCACGTATACACAATTTTGCGCACAGGTGCCGCCCTGTAGCAGTGTATCTGCTAAAGAGTGGTCCTTAAGCAGTTAATGCAGCAGCCAACCGATAGAATCTGCATTTTATGTAACACGTTTTGCAGGCCCATTTATCATAGTTGGAGATCAAGCTTTCCTTCTTCCCTAAAGACAGGGAAAAAAATCTGATGGCTGAAAAATCTTCATTGAGGGCTTGTTCACACCAAAACAAAGTGCAGCAAGTCTGCATTACATGTGCATGTCCCACGCCATGTTTAAAATGCACTGGGTGTGCAATTTGATGTGGGTATCAATTCAATCCTAACACTCTTGCAAATCATGCACTTTTGGAAATTAGAACATGGAACACTTTGGATGCAATTCAGTGCAATTTCAAAATTATTCAAGTGAATAGGCTGAAAAATTTACACAGCACCGAGTCTCAGGATTCAGGTGTGAAATAGTCCAAAAGCAACTGGTCCATTTCCTCAAGTAGCCCTTTACAATTTTTCAAACCCAAAGATTACATCTCATCCCTGACGTCTGCGAGATGCTGGGTATGCCACACGTATAAGTCATTTCAGAAGCTGATGACCAATGGAAGAAGGTAAGGACCTGGACGATGCATCGGAGGAGATGGTGGTTCTGACAGATGTCATTGCTGGACAGTACAAAACAAACAGGATTTGAAAGTAAACTTAAGTGAGATTTGTACTCAACTGCACAAGTATCGACAGTCAGCATGTTTAAATGCCATATAAATGTAGTCTGCCCTATCTAAAAAACACAACTAGAATATAAAGTGGAAAATGACTATCATTTGGAAAGATTTTAACAGGTGTCCAGATTGGAATATTTCCCCACCTAGCCTAGTTTGGGTGACAACGGTAAAAGGTTTGATTTCACATCACTTCCTGTCCCGCTGATGGTTGTTCAGACAAAAACAGAATCGTGTCTTAACACTTCCATGCTTTAATAAAAAAAAAAAAAAAAAAAAAAAAAAAAAAAAACGCAAGTTTTGGCTTTAAATACTACTTCTGCGTGAGCTGGGACATTTTTCATAGAGTTTCGGCAGCCATTTATTCAGTCATTTCCAGGAGTAAACCATTTGCAGCACTTTAGGTCTTTTGGATATATTTTGATATCATTGAAATTGCACCCTGATAACAAGCAAAGTTTTAAAAGTACAGCATTAAAAAAAAACCCAACACCAAACAATTTTTAGCGATTCTAAACTTAAAAAAAACACTAATGTATTTCCACAAACTATGGAGCCAGATTCTTATAAAACTAGTATTTTTACCTGGAGCAAGGGCAGCTGAAGTAGGCCCTCCCATAGAGGGGTGAGAGAACAGCGCTTGGGAGAAGGCAGACATGTTGGACTGGGACATGTTACCCAATCGCGACGTTGATCCTCCTTTGGGAATAAACTCGCTGGCAGTAGGGTTAGGAGTCTGCAAAAGAGGTTTCAGCTACCACATTAGAAGTGTTAACCTTAAAATGCATAAAAAAAAAAAAAAAAAATGCACACATCCACTTCCTTTTAGGTACAGTTTAAGTTCTAGAAAAGAGCTTAATATTAGTGGATCCAAGCATCCACTTCACTGATATAAAATCAGCCCTAGTCTGTTTGCTAGGAAGGTATTTCATTAACGCTTGTTTTTTGTTTTGGTTTTTTTAAACACACAAAAACAAAAAAAAAAAAAAAAACCCACACACCACACTTGTACCATATAAACAGACTAGCATTGATGAATTACTCAAAGAGTCCAGCCTCAGCAGCCAGCCAATTTTAGACAGGTTCACATGGCATGCTCTTAGGTCTTGAAGACTCCCATATGCAGCATAATTAAAGTAGAACTATAGGCAAAACTTATTTTAAATAGAGCAAGGAAAGGTTATAACCCCAATCAGAATTTATTCCTTGCCATTTGTGTCCTATTGAGATTTCTCTTCACTTAATTTCCCATAGCTACATAGGAAGTGACAGGAAATCCCTGAAAATTAGGGGAATTCCTTGGGGACCCCCAGGAGACCAGAACTAGTGTCCCCTTAGAAGATTTCCCCACTTACTTTTCTGGTGACAACCATTATCATTGAAGGTAAAAAAAACCCAAATTTTGGGTTAACAGGACAAAGGTGAATCTCCTTAATAGGGATACAGACAGCAATAAAAACTAAAAAAAACAGGCATTCTAATCAGTCTGCAATCTATTCAAAACAAAACAGTTTTGCATTTAGTTATACTTTATGCCTTCTTCAGTGCCAACAACATTAAATTGGACTTTATGAAATTTGGGGTAAACCGTTAAATCAGATTATAGCTATAATTTGATACAATATCCCAATCAAATGCGTTTCCCTATCCAGTGTGTGTATTTGACCACATAGCCTCCTGAATATGTATGGCAAGGGCCCAGTCAAAGATGCATCAAGAAAGACACCTACAGTGGGGCAAAAAAGTATTTAGTCAGCCACCAATTGTGCAAGGTCTCCCACTTAAGATGAGGCCTGTAATTGGCATCATAGGTAGACCTCAACTATGAGAGACAAAATGAGAAAAAAAAAAAAAAAAAAAAAAAACTCAGACAATCACATTGGCTGATTTGGAAAGAATTTATTTGCAAATTATGGTGGAAAATAAGTATTTGGTCAATATCAAAAGTTCATCTCAAATACTTTGTTATATATCCTTTGTTGGCAATGACAGAGGTCAAACGTTTCCTGTAAGTCTTCACAAGGTTGGCACACACTGTTGCTGGTATGTTGGCCCATTCCTCCCATGCAGATCTCCTCTAGAGCAGTGTTTTAGGGCTGTCGCTGGGCAACACGGACTTTCAACTCCCTCAAAAGGTTTTCTATGGAGTTGAGATCTGGAGACTGGCTAGGCCACTCCAGGACCTTGAAATGTTTTACGAAGCCACGCCTTCGTTGGCTGGGTGGTATGTTTGGGATCATTGTCATGTTGGAAGACCCAGCCACGTTTCATCTTTAATGCCCTTGCTGATGAAGGAGGTTTGCACTCAAAATCTCACGATACATGGCCCCATTCATTCTGTCCTGTACATGGATCAGTCGTCCTGGTCCCTTTGCAGAGAAACAGCCCCAAAGCATGATGTTGCCACCCCATGCTTCACAGTAGGTATGGTGTTCTTTGGATGCAACTCAGCATTCTCTCTCCTCCAAACACAACGAGTTGTGTTTCTACCAAACAGTTCTATTTTGGTTTCATCTGACCATATGACATTCTCCCAATCCTCTTCTGGATTATCCAAATGTTCTCAAGCAAACTTCAGACGGGCCCGGACATATACTGTCTTAAGCAGGGGGACACGTCTGGCACTGCAGAATCTGGGTCCCTGGCGGCGTAGTGTGTTACTGATGGTAGCCTTTGTTACGTTGGTCCCAGCTCTCGGCAGGTCATTCACTAGGTCCCCCCGTGTGGTCCTGGGATTTTTGCTCACGGTTCTTGTGATCATTTTGACCCCACGGGGTGAGATCTTGCATGGAGCCCCAGATAGAGGGAGATTATCAGTGGTCTTGTATGTCTGGCATTTTCTAATTATTGCTCCCACAGTTGATTTGTTCACACCAAGCTGCTTGCCTATTGCAGATTCAGTCTTCCCAGCCTGGTGCAGGTCTACATTGTTTCTGGTGTCCTTCGACAGCTCTTTGGTCTTCACCATAGTGGAGTTTGGAGTGGGACTGTTTGAACTTGTTATCAGTATAAAAGACACCTGTCCACAACCTCAAACAGGTGCCATTGATACAGGTAATGAGTGCAGGACAGAGGAGCCTCTTGAAGAAGGTACAGGTCTGTGAGAGCCAGAAATCTTGTTTGTTTGTAGCTGACCAAATACTTATTTTCCACCATAATTTGCAAATAAATTCTTTCCAAATCAGCCAATGTGATTGTCTGGCCTTTTTTCCCTCATTTTGTCTCTCATAGTGGAGGTCTACCTATGATACCAATTACAGGTCTCATCTTTTTAAGTGGGAGAACTTGCACAATTGGTGGCTGACTAAATACTTTTTTGCCCCACTGAAATTGTACAATAAAGTGCAATGGACTGCATTACTACATAAAAGGGCAATTTAGATTTTTGCATACATTGAGTTACTTTGTTTCTTCAGCAACCCATTCACAACACAGGAAGTTAACAAATCTGCAGACTAAGGCCTCAACAGAAATGGTTTCTTGCAGGAACTCAATGCCGAGCAAACCAAGGTAATGGCAACCAAAAATCCCACCTTGTGTGCAAGAAGTGAAAACTTCAGGAAGGTTCAAAAAAGATTGCAAAACAGATAAGACAAAGTTAAGGTCCCAGAGGGATCAAGTGGGACTACCCAGGGAGAAGAATCTTTGGACACCTTGCACAAAGGCTAATGATTGAGAAGTGATAGACCTGTGAAATAGAACAGCCAAGGCTGAGATCTGTGGGTTTAGGTACTTCAAGCCAGAGTATCTCCACAGCAGACTGCAGAAAAGCCAAAATGCACCTCATAACATTGTTTGGAGTTATACTTTGTCTCACACAGGTGAAGCAAGTCTTCCATGTACAAGTACCCATCTTGGAGTAGAAGAACAGTCAGAAATATCCCCATCTTCCAGGACTGGAGCTTTAAAAGCCATATCAAAAAAAAAAAAAAAAAAAAAAAAACACAAAAAAGATGTCCATATCTGTCATCTCCCACCACAGACAAATCTCTGGAGTTGAGTTCTTTACTGAAATTGTTCAGATTCAGCTGCTGACAGCTGAGAAAAGTCTGCCATTCTCAAACTGCAGAGAGGACCAGAATGTGAAGTTCTGTCCAAGACAAGATTGGGTCCACTTCTGTCAGCATGAATTTTTGCTTGATAAAGTATAGCAGAGCCATGGCATTATCAGACATTGTTGGAAAGCCCTCATAGGTAGACCAACATAGGAGAGCCAGCCACATCACAAGTTCTAGGATGTTGATCAGCAACTTTTGCTCCAACAACCATGCTCCCTAAAGTTCTCCAAAACTTATATCCAGCCTGAAAATGGAAGGATTTCTCAGCATCTCTAACTGCATGTATACTGACCAGGCCAGAGTATCCAGTCTTCGGAGTCCACTACGGAAAGCAAAAGACTCCAGATGTCTGTCACATACAACCAGGAAATTGAGTTGCATAACACTAGAGAGAAACCGGGCAAAAAGGGACAGCATCAACGGCAGCTATCATTTCTACAGCACCTGCATGCAAGTCTAGGCATCAGATGCAAAGCCAACTCCTGGTGCTACAGCACCCAGCCAAACCTCTTGATCTCATACTGTCTGCTGATGTCAGTTTGAGCTGACTGCTCCCTGCGCAGTAGGTGGGTCACGTATTCCACAACGGCAACATCCCACAGCTTGGATTCTGGGTTTTAAGGACAAGTCAAAAAACCACAAATTGAGAGTTGCAATTTTCCACTGTCTATCCACTTACACGAGAAGTCTTGCAGATGAAGTAAAGCAATTACCACCAAAAGGTGGACACCATCCTGAGCCTATATACTATTCAGAAATTTGTTAAGACCCTTGAAGACAATATGGCTAATGTCTCCTCTTGGCAGTAACTAGTCCTTCCACAGCACTGTGCAGATACCCTTGAGCACAAAGTGTTGAGGGGGAAGCAGCCTAAATGCCAGTTTGTAGCCTCTGCAATTTTCAAAGCCAAGTTGCCCGCCAAGACCAGTAGAGGGGTACCCACCACATCATTCATCCACCTACCTCTCTGCCTGCCTAAAGCCATGGCTAACGGAGGTTAAAATAGATAGGCCCGTGCCCCCCCCAGAGAAGCAGCCGCCCAGCTGACAGGAGTATCTGCTTAAGCCAAACTCCTATGGGGCATTTACCCCCAGTAGTCTGTACCTGCATAGCCTGCGAGAACTAGCAGGGCTGGAGGCAGAAACACTATCTGACTGTCTCCTAGACCAGCATGATCTGACCGCTCCCTTTCCCCATTGGAGTAGCCTCAGACAGCTGAAAAACATGTACTGTGCATGATTAAAAATGATACAGGTGTTATCACATGTGCAGCATGCCTGACCACCCTCCTTGATCTCTGCCACCGCTGCTTAAAAACCCATACAGCAATAAATGTTTAGCCCACTGTTATCCTACCTGTGCGCTGCTGGTGCCTGCTTCCCTCAGTCCACAAGAGAAGCTTCCATGAAACCCTGTTCTCTGGCTCTTGCCAACCTGTGTAAACAGCACCCAGGAGAAGCACCAACCCGCATTCCCTTCCTCTAGGAGGTGCAGAGACCAGAACCACAAGTCTCCACGTGCAGCAATGACGTCACAACCTCTGAAAACTGGCGCCCAGAGAGCACTGCTCCTCCCCCCAATCCAACCAGGAAGCCACAGCCAACTGCAGCAGCACCACACTGCCCATGTCCTTCGCCGTGCTCTTTAGAGAGGCGGGAGCGGGTCTGCTCCAAACCTCTGGAGGGAACCTGTGGCCCCGCAAAAGCCTCCAGGAAGGCCCCTGGGCCATGACACACACACACACACACACACACACACACACACACACTACTGTTCCTTCATGCAAGATGCCCCCTGGACAAATGACTGGCCATGTTCCTGAGGGAACACATTTAAAGAGCTAGAGGCAATGTGTCATGTCCTGGTAGGAGGAGCTCCCATCTTTTAAGGGCTGTCCCAGGAGTTAACCAGGGGGAAAAAAAAAAAAAAAAAAAAAAAATTGTCTAGAAGTCCCAATGCAGCCAGAAACAGTCAGGGGTAACTACCACTAGCTCCACTATATACAGAGGCACTCCCCATTCTAGTTACAAGTATTGGTCCGTGTAAAGTCACATGCAGGTGCACTCCCAAGCCTGACACTGTGGCTGTGTGTTTACAAACAGTGCAGCTTGGCCAATCACCCCCCCCCCCCCCCCCCCCAGAATATGACTGACAGCAGAAGCCAATGGCTCCTGCTGCTCTCAGAGCCTCCTGCGATTGTAGAAGGGAGCAGCACAAGGGCAGAGTGCAGGATCGATAGAGGACTCAGGTGTTTAGTAGGGGGAATGGTATTGGACATTTTACCATAATGCATTTGTCTTTAACCTTGCTTCAGAGGGCAGAATACCGTAATCTTGGTGCTATGTCAAGCCATTGCTGTTTTAAAGGTTTTGCACAGAACTGTGCCAAGTGTGTACCCTACACCAATAAAAAGGTCAAAGGTTGGTAGCAAGGTTCTAGAATATTTTTGAACCAAGCACACAAACCTAAAATGGACAAATTGAAAAAGCTAGCAAAAGGGGTATAAAAGAAAACTCAAACAGGTGCCAATGTGAAAAACAAAACCTACCTTTCGTCTTTGAGAAATGCTGAGACCAGCAAAGTCATTAAACAGTGTGGAAGCTGGAGAGCCTAAAGGATCTAAAATGGACAAAAACAGAATGATATTGTTAATGGAGGTCTCAGGGCTTTTAAATTTTATATTCAAGTTGCACTTGTCAGGACCACCTGTATCTGGACAATTTGCTGCTCAATTACAGCCTCGTTTCTCTATTAAAGAGGATTTTCAAAGCACAAAAATGTATGTTCATAAAGGTCCACAACCAATACAAGTCCAATTTGCAGAGAATAGGAGAAAGTTGTAGTCAGGCACATCGCTGGATCAAATGAGGACTTGGGTGTTTAGAGAGTGGCCAATACATCTATTGGGACATTTTTACCTTAAAAATGCAAGGAATGAATTAAGGAAAATGTTTTGACTTTAGAACAATTTTAAGGTGCATGGTCTTCATTCGATTTCTTACCACACTAGGGGCCTAAGACTTTAAAAGCACAGATTTATCTCCCAAACTGGTTTCAACCTGTGTCCATGCACATTGTGCGGTTTATATCAGCATTTAGAGGCAAGAAAAAAAGCCCCAGACCTTCATTTGGCAGGGAGATAACTGGCATAACTTATATGTAGACACATGCAAGTGTGTGCGCAATTCATTCTAGTTACTAGAATAAATTAACATTTTAGCAAACGAGTATATGTAATTGGGCACCAAAACATGACTACGCGGGAATATTTAATACACCCATGTGCAATAGCCCTTAGTTCCAAAACAAACTGCATTAGTCCCCTTTCATACAGGGCGGACCAGTCAGTGGATCTGCTTTCTTAGCAGGGGATCTCTCCTCTGATCCCAGTAAGCAAATTGATGACAGGTCTGTGCCTGCTGCCGCTCCAGAGTGGACACAGACACATCCTGCTGTTTTCTATGGGGAGGTCGGATGAAAAATGGACCGCCTGTTTCCACCTCACTGTCATCTGATCCAATCTCCCCATCCATCTGTTTTTAGCGTACAGGATCAGACGCTGGTGGATGTCAGTGGACACGTTAGCCAACGCCCGCCGGGCAATAGAACACTATGGATGGTCTGATCCAGTCAAGCTGAGAAAAAATGACAGTTGGACCTGATCGGACTGTCAGTATGAAAAGGGTCTCAAGGTAAAAAGTTTAGGACATGCTCTGCACCCCTCCCCTTCTTGCTCACTCCAGGACCAATCCAACACTGCCTGGCTGTAGTCTTCTCTTATGTCAAGATGCACACAGCCCAGCTCAGGATCAAGCCTGAACATCTGCCCACATAGCAAGTGGCATACTATGGGGGCAAACAAAAGGAGGAGGCAAGAGTGCCGAGGGGGGGGGGGGGGGGGTTGTTTGTGATCACCCCAGAAGGTTTAGGGCTTTGGGGAAAACAATGCTTTACCAAACTAATCTTGGAGTGGAAAGGTTTAACCACCGTTTACAATTGGGACATTTTCTCCTCAATCTGTTTCTGGGATTCAAAGAAATTATAAAAATTCTTGCCATTCCCCCACTATTTAAAAAAAAAAAAAAAAAAAAAAAAAAAAAAAAAAAAAAACACACCACAGGCTTTAGATGGAGTGAGCATTTGGACAACTAACATTTAATCCAATGATAAAAACAGCAATGGAACATAGCCAAGAAAATAAACTATATATTGCTTTTTTTTTATATAAAAAGGTCTTAAAGCCACTGATTAAGGACCAGTGCTAAAAGATAAAAGCCACAGGGTTGCTTTAAAATTATGTATAAAATTACTGCTGCCTACAGGCATATTCCACAGCTTGCTCAGTTAGGCCTAGTTTACATAGGCAGTTGAGCCGCATTTTTATTCTCACCTCACCAACCTGCAAAATTCTCTCCCTCCCTACAAAGCCACCATATCACTTCCACCTGAAGCCGACAGTCAGATTTACATACATTCATAGGAGTAAAACCTCCTGTTGAGGCTGACATGACATACATTAGTGGCAATAAAAGATTAAATACAAGCTCATTTCAATGTGGTACTCTAAAATAATTGGTATTCCTTTACTGAAATATGCTGCAATAAGCAATTCTGATCCATACTCGATAACATTTTTCTTACCATGACCTGTGTATGGCTTGGCACTGTCATTGAGAAGGCTTGGAGAACTGCTGCTGTTTGTCATTCGCTACAAAAGACACAAAACAAATTAAGTACAATTACCAAAATGACATACTAGTATAACAGGTAGAATTAAATCAAAATTTATCCCACCTCTCAAACTTCAGCAAATGCATTTGAATTGGCTCTGCATTTAAAAATATTGTGCACTTGCTTTAACTAGTCATTAGTAGTTCTAATCCCTGTGCTATTTTCTCCAGACAACTGTGCTGGCTGGCAGCCAGGAAAGGGGGGGGGGGGGGGGGGGTTAGTAAAATCCAAATCCCCAGCCCAGCAGTACAAGCACTGGGAGGCTTGAAGCCTGGGGGGGGGGGGGGGGGGGGTACGTTTGGGTTCAGCAGTACCAGTGTGGGTTGCCATGGTTGGGGGGGGGGGGGTGTGGGGGGGGGGGGGGGGGGGGGGGAGGATAGAGTGGTTCAGTAGTGTGGGTTGGCTGGAAAAGGGGTGGGATAACAGTACCAGTGGTAGGTGGCTGGAGTATGGGCAGGGTATCTGGAGGATGGAATGCACACCAAACACATCTTCGCCTCCGCAGGCGGCATGAAAAAAACTGGCTTTTAACTTCTTTAGCTGGCTCCTAGATCCAAATGCAAAATTTATCAAGCCCTGGATTACCATATCTACACATGCATTATTCCACATACCTTGTCCCTACTCACCAACATGACAAGCAGCTTCTTGTTCTGGGTCACATGCATGCCTAGCCATTTCATCATAAATATGTGAATGCTAGTTTCCAGCATGGTAAGCTCTGGTAATTTCGTTCACCTGAACCAGCACTAGACAGACCCAGGGATTGTGGGATATGTAGTTTAACGGGAAGTAATGGTTCTTAGACTACAGAGGTCATGCGCTAACCTGTGCACTGCCATGGCACATATGTTTCAAACAGTAATCTGACAGAAAGATATGATTTACCCTACTATAGACAACTATAGGCTGCTTATAGGCCAACAAAGGAAACCATAAAACTACATACTCACGGCACATCTTACTGTATATGCAGGTGGAAAATAAGGTGCAGGTAAAAAAGGTTTGTAATGCCTTTACAAAGTGACAATAAGGAATGCTTTATTAAAAACAGCCAAAAAAAGGAAGATCAGCATGACAAGTAACTAGCATTTCCAGAAGGTGGTCAGTAAGGGCATTCCAAAGCCCCCCCCCCTCAACTACATTCAGATCCACTATACCACATGTTACACTTAAAGCCAGATCCAATTTAAAGTGTCTGACTGCTGTCCTTACCCCTGGACTAGACGAAAACATTTCTAGAAGTTCTTTGACAAAATGCCTGTGCGAAAAGTACCTAAAAAAAGGCGTCATTGGTACAGTGCAAATCTCAGGGGAACACACAAAAAGCAGCATAAACAAACTTCACTGGCCAATATCAAAATTTATAAAAACAGAATTGTCACATGCAGTATAATACAGGGATGTTCAATTCTTATTGCCAGACACCCAGGACATGCAGTTCCAGGCAGGTAGTTTTTGTTTAACCTTCAGCCCTGCTGTGGGCAAGCAGCAATGCTCATATGTCAGGTGGAAGCATTTGGGTGACCGCGCTGCTGCCCGATTGCTTCCACATAGCCCACTATGGTGCCAGCCTCCACCCACCCGCCGTCTCCTAGGCTCCACTTGCCCATCTGTAGGCCCGGGACCAGTTTTGGTGGCTGCTGGCGTGTACAAGGGAGTGAGGCGAGCGGACACATCCACTCTCCCCCACCCTTCTTGTCCTGACTCAGAAGTGATATGAAGTTGCTTCCAGGTCCCCGTTGACAGAATCCCAGCCATTGAGGCCAGGAAAGGATAAAATGCAGTGCGATTAGCTTTCTTTTGCATTTTTTTAGACCCTGATGTCTCAAAAAAAAATTTTAAAAAATCAATACTTTTCACCAAAAATCACCACATAGGGTTTATTTTTTCAAGTTAAAAAGTTACACCCAAGCATATAACACCCCCCCAAAAACATTTCCCCACATATGTCCGCACACACGTAAAAGCGCTATGGCATGAAAACGACGATTGCGATACACGTTACATATCGCCATGCACACCAGAATGAGAGCAATAATTGTAGCACCAGACCTCCTCTAACACTAAACTGATGACCTATAAAAAGGGGCTTTAAAAGAGTCACCTATAGCAAATATAGGGTTACTAAAGTTTGTTGCCATTTCATGAGCGCACGCAAATTTAAGCTTTGACATGTTGGATATCTATTTACTTGAAGCAACCTAGTCTTATATTTTACTAAAAACATTGGATAATGTATTGCTTGTTGTGCCCTAAAATTAACTTTGCAATAATACCGTGTGACATAAAAATTGGAACTCATTTTATTCTTTAGGGTCTCAGATTTCAGAAAATATGTTTTGGAGTTGTGTAATCTTCAGGCCTTAAATAATTTTTTTTTTTTTTTTAAAAAACGTGCAAAAAACGCAAAAGCGGCTCTGGCAGTGAAAGGGATAAAGGATAAGCCCAGCACTCCCCTTTCCTGACGAGCACCCAATTGTTGGTCACACTGCAAGGCCTCTCCCCTCCCTGCTAATTCCCGGGTGCGGGGCTGGAGACAGGCAGGGAGGGGAGGAGGAGATAAACATTTAATATTTTTCAACATTGCGCTGTCTATGTCACCATAAAGCCCCTTTTGTTTTTAAAAGCCCCGGACATTACTTACAGCAGATTTAAAATACGGTTTTGGTTCAAATTAATTTTTTTTTTTTTAATCAGGACAAGTAGATTGTCATAAGGGAAAAGTAGACTGGGGAACCGATTTAGTCACTGAACAAATAGTTTTCAAAAATTTCCACACCCCTGATAATATATTTTCCTATAATCTTGGTAAATTTTGAAGTGAAAAATTTGCCCAACTTAAAACTGAACTCTAGGGAAAGTAAATGCTCCCATGCAGTTGGGCTACAAGGGGTTAAAATGCTCATTTAGGCCTATATAGATATATGAATTATAAAGTGAAAAGGAGCCACAGATAGTATGACAATGGAAATCGGAGGACAAAATGATACTCTGATAATGGTCAATGATATGGCATATAACATGATGGTAAACAATATTGCTCAAACCTGCCTATATTCTCAGTTCAAAAAATACCCTCATTGCAAGGTATAAGCAGCAACACAGAATGTGCTGAATTGGGAGAGGCATCTAGCCATCACCCCCAATCGCTCATAAGGGGTATCCCCACTTTATAATTCATATATCTATATAGCGCATGATCCCCATGGGTATAGCATTCCAACTGAAGTGCCGGGACCTCAGTGCGAGGTGTCACCCAGGACGTCATCTCTATCCTTCAAATCTGTTGGTGGTGTGTTCCTTTCTTCCCTTTTATTTTTGTAAGATGTTTTACATGGTTGTTACGATAATTCTGCAATAAACGGTTGAATTGTTTTTTTTCAAAGAAGCCACAGTTTGTCCTCATTGGGACCCCTTGGCCTAAGGGATCTCTTTCCCTTGGTCTTTTTCTTAGGATCCACAAAGTCTGAGCCAGCAGTTCCTGCCCCATCCACAGCCCTGTGCTCCAGTGAGCGCTGGGGGAGGCAGAGAAGATGGCGATGAATGAATCGCCGCTCTGCCAAGAGCAGCAGTTGTGTCAGAGTCTCAGCCTTAGAGCCGGCGGGGGATAGATGCAGCAATGGAAGTGATTCTACAGCTGCACAAGTAGAACTGAAAAATTATTTTCTCTCCTATCCCCAAACTTCACTTTTAAAATGTCTGTACACACCTCAAAGATCAGCTTCAGTTTATTCTACTACCTGCATTCGAGGATAATTTGCTTCCGCAGGACTTCCAAATCCATTCATTCCGATAAAGCTGGTGCTGAAGTAGGAATCTGTCAGACTGGTATCTGTTAAAGCTCCGTCAATGCCAGGAACTGGAGAGCACATTGATGAGAATGGAAAAAAAAAAAAAATCATAGAAAACATTAAAGAATTGAACAAGTACAGTACACTGCACAAAAGAGGACCAAATTAAGACCAAGGGAGTTTCAATAAGACTATCCACTAACAGGGACCAATGTATGGAGATTAACTTTAAAGATACCATTTAACCTAGTTAGGCAATTAAAAAAAAAAAAAAAAAAAAAAAAACCCCATCAGTGCCCGAATGTGTTTGAACAGCTCTCTCTAATCCTCTGCACAGCAGCACTCAAAAGGTAAAGGCCACGGAGGGTTTTGTGCAGTCCGTTTGAACATACAAAAAAGGTAGGTTCAGGACCAGGCTACATCATTAAAGGACTACTGTCAGTATATGCACATTAGGCCATTCTTCTAGATTGCAGCTTTACCTTTACACCATGTCCCAAATTATGTAAATGATATTTCTCTCATTTACCTAAATTGATGTAAATAACAGTCAGCATAATTCTCATGTTATCAACTATTAAGAGTACAATTCAAATTTTATTGAAAAGACCTCCTAATAGTATTTTTTTTTTAAACATAAAACACTTCCAATGCACTGTTCCAAATTACGCACAGCAAGTTTCAAAACACTTTTATAGGTTGTAAATAACTGAAAATTGTCATTTGTTGTGTTTGCAGCATTTTTACTGAAATCAAAAGCGATTTCAAACTTTTAACATTTTTAACTTTTTAAACATTTTAACAGGTCACGTTACATTGTAACATAGGACCCCTTATTTGATAGCAGCTTCACAAGTCTTGCATCCATTGAACTTGTGAGTTTTTGGACAGTTTCTGCTTGAATTTGTTTGCAAAATGTCAGAATAGCCTCCCAGAGCTGCTGTTTGGAGGTAAACTTCCTCCCACCCTCATAGATCTTTTGCTTGAGGATGCTCCAAAGGTTCTCAATAGGACTGAGGTCAGGGGGGAGGATGGAGGCCACACCATGACTTTCTCTTTTATCCCCATAGCAGCCATTGATGCGGAGGTATTCTTTGCAGCATGAGATGGTGCATGGTCATGCATGAAGATGATTTTATTATGGAAAGCATAGTTCTTCCTTCTGTACCAGGGAAGAAAGTGGTCAGTCATAAACTCCTCATACTTTGCAGAGGTCATCTTTACACCCTCGGGGCCCCTAAAGGGGCCGACCAGCTCTGTTCCCATGATTCCGGCCCAACAAAAAAAAAAAAAAAATGACTCCACCGCCTTACTGACATCGCAGCCTTGTTGGAACAGGGTGGCCGTCCACCAACCATCCACTACTCTATCCATCTGGACCATCCAGGGTTACACGGCACTCATCAGTGAACAGGACTGTTTGAAAATTAGTCTTCATGTATTTTTCTGCCCAATGCAGCCGTTTCTGCTTGTGAGCATTGGTTAGTGGTGGCCGAATAGAAGGTTTATGCACAGTTGCAAGACTCTGGAGGACTCTACACCTTGATGTCCGTGGGACTCCAGAGGCACCAGCAGCTTCAAATATCTGTTTGCTGCTATGTAATGGTATTTTAGCAGCTGCTTTCTTGATCCGATGCATGGATCTGGCAGAAATCTTCTTCAACGTGCCTTTATCTGCACGAACCCGTCTGTGCTCTGAATCAGCCACAAATCTCTTAATAGTGCGATGATAACGCTTAGGTTTTCGTGAAATATCTAATGTTTTCATACCTCGTCCAAGGCATTGAACTATTTCACTCTTTTTGGCAGCAGAGATCCTTCTTCCCCATATTGCTTGAAAATGGTGCTCTGCTTAATAATGTGGAACACCCTCCTTTAGTAGTTTTTCCTTAAATTGGGCTCACCGGCCAATCTAATTATCACAGGTGTCAGATTGTTTTCAGTGATCAAAAGAGCCCTGACACACAATGCCATCCATGAGTTAAACTGAAAAACAAAATATTTCATCTTTGTGACACTTAAATAGAATTTGCATAATTTGGAACACTGTGTAGGTTTAAAGGTTTTATCCAAGTTATTGTGAAATTGCAACAATTCTGAAAGACTTGCGTTAACACAAAGCCCAGCAACAGTGCACTGTCACTGCTGCAGAGGCTTCCATCTCCCCCCCCCCCCCCCAGTCTGCCTTTTGGATTTGCAGGTGTTAAATGGCTGAGCAGCGACCGATTATTATTATTATACAAATTTAAATACCGCCAACAGTTTGCTCAGCGCTTTACAATGCCATCACTCCCGTGCATGTGCACAGGAGCCACAATCATGCTCTGAAGGACCAGCACAGGTATGCCTCTCCGAGCATATGCACCAGTGATGTCGCCAGCTGCCAAGTTTTTATCTCCCCTAAACAGTACACATTTAGGCGATAAAAAAAAAAAAAAAAAAATAGAATTGCTTCCCCCCCCCCCGTTATACTTAGGTGGATGCAGCAGCGGTCTAATTCTGCATCGGTCCCCTGCCAGCTCTAAGTGAGAACTCCGCGATCACATGTTCGCACAGCTGTCTGTTCGGCCCAGCGTGCCCACTGGAGCATTGGCCTGTGGAGGGGGAGGGAGCGGTTGGCTCAGGCCCTCAAGCAGCTCACTGAGAGGCTGAGCCAGGTGCCACTCCACACTGGGGGTGGATCCCAACTTTAAAGTCAGGATCTTTCCCCAGCCTGGACCCACTGACTGATGGTCAGCTGACAGGGGGGATTCTGCTTTGGCTGTACTTTAATCTAGTACAGCTTTATTAGCGGTGCTTCCCTGTAGTGTAATCAAAAATCGGGGTAGAAATACAGTAATTTCCTTTTAAAGAAGCCCTTTTGTATGATTTTAATTACCATACTTACCTTAAGAACCGGTAACCCCAAACTACATTATACGGGCTTTCATGAAAGGTTTTGTAAAACATTTGTTACACTGAAAAAGAACTTAAAATGTAAATACTTCGCTCCCAAGATGTTCCCCTGCAGCGTCCCAATCCATCTCCTCAAAAAAAAAAAAAAAAGAAAAAAAAAAAAAAAAGGATAACCGGATCTACAAAATCTGATAAAAGACTTCTGTACTTCTACGGTCTGAACCCGCAATCGTTGTAAATAAATCAACCTCTAAAATTACTCAACCCCTTAAAAAAAAAAAAAAAAAAACCGCGGGAAAAAAAAATTTTCGTCAGACAACTGAAAACTTTTGCGACTTTGCCAGCGATGTGCAAGGGAATTTGCCACTGTATTTCAAATTTCAGTGTTCATTCCACTTTGATGAAATTCTGTTCAATTTTCCTCCATGTTCGGGTTAAGACCCTTCTTTGCTATTATATTGATATAGACTTTTATGATTACTTAATGTAAATTATCAATTTATGATTCCTTGTCTTCAAGGAAATACCGGAATTGAATTAATAGACTCTTTTTCGGACAGATTCAGTAAAGTTATTCCTAGCAAAAATTACAGCTCTACAATTACCAAAAAAACGAAATAAAATTTCCATGCAAAAAAAATTTTACATTTTTCAAAAGCAAAAACCCTTCCAAAAAAGGACATGATCATACCGCCAGGGAGGTTAGTCTAGTACAGCTTTTTAGAAGCTTCCCTGTAGGTAATCAAAATCCACAGAATCTAACTTTAATTTTAGAAATACAGTAATTTCCTTTTAAAAGAAGCCCTTTTTTGTATGATTTTAATAAATACCATACTTCTTTTTACTCTCTTAAGAAACCGTAATCAAACAAATTATACAATGCTTTCATGAAAGGTTTTGTAAAACATTTTGTTACACTGAAAAAACAACTAGTAAAATGTAAATACTTAAATTAAGATGTTACTGAAATAAAAAAGCCAAAAGGAAATTTCAAAAAAAAACAAAAAAAAAAAAAAAAAGGAAGTAACACTGATTGGATCTACAAAATCACTGATAAAAAGATAATGTATATACTTCTACATTTCTGAACCTAGGCAATCATTGTAAATAAATCAACCTCTAAAATTACTCAACCCCTTAAAAAAAAAAAAAAAAAAAATTAACAAACTTTCTCTTAACTCCCCACCATCCCCGGGAAATGCAAGGGATGATTGTAACCACACTGCAACTGCAGACCCTTATTCATTCCACTTTGATGAAATTCCTTTTCCTCCATGGCAGCCAAGCCAACCTCATCTCAAGAACACTACCAAAAAAAGGAAAATAAAATTTACTCCAGTAAATGAATGCAATTTAAAACATTTTACATTTTTATAAACAAAAATAAAAACCCCTACACAAAAAAGGAATTTCAAAAAGCACCATGGAGGTACCCAACAAAAACAGCACACAACACTGCCTACTTGTGGGCTGACTATAGAACTCAATAGGTAGAGATCAAATGGAAATTGGCAGTTTAAAATCACACAAGTCTGGAAATTGTGGAAAGAAAGTTTCAACCAATTGCTTTTAAATATTTAAGCATTTTTTTCCCATTTTGAGCAATATGCATGCTAATGTTTTACCTCTGTTCAGAATAAACAAAAATTATGTACAACTTTGTGGCTCCCCTTTGAAGTGTATTTCTAAGCAGAACCTAGAGGAAATCCAAGAATTCAGAGCTGACACCCATTAACAAAAAGGGAGGTTAAATCTTCCAGTGGGGGACACCCACATCAAATTACTCTTGGAGATTTCTTCTAACTTCTAGTTTTGCATCCTGGGAGGGCAAATAAATCTCCCAAACCATACTCAAAAAAAAAAAAAAAAAAAAAAAAAAGTGGAACTGAAAGCTGACAAATTCATGAACTTGGCAGTGCTGGCTGATTGATGGCCCTCCACAAAAAGTACTCCATTTTCAAATTCACTGGTAGGATCAACAGGTAAATACTATGTGCAGAACAGTTTACAATGTTAGATTGCTTAGCGACAGCAGAATGTAATATGTGGGCAGATTGATTTTGGGTGAAATTCCATTTTACCCTTCAGTTGAAAAAAGTTTGCAGATAATGGTCCTTTAAAAAAAAAGGCATGTGTAAGATCAGATGAAGAGTACAAAAGAGTCCTTTTAAAAA